ATGTCTTTAGGTACTCCTATGTTGGGGGAATAGGTATTTATAATTGTTATTTCCTCGAGTTGGATTGATCCCTTTATCACTATGTAGTGCCCTTTTTTGTCTGTTACTGTCTTTATTTTTTATTTATTTTTTTATTTTTTTTTAAATGTTTTATTTATTTATTCATGAAAGTCAGAGAGTGAGAGAGAGGCAGAGGCAGAGGGAGAAGCAGGCTCCCCGCCCAGCAGGGAGCCCGATGGGGACTCGATCCCAGGACCCTGGGATCATGACCTGAGCCGAAGGCAGACGCTTAACCATCTGAGCCACCCAGGCGCCCCTGTTACTGTCTTTATTTTAAAGTCTATTTTGTCTGATGTATTACTACCCCAGCTTTTTTTTTTTTCATTTCCATTCGTATGGAATATCTTTTTACATCTCTTCACTTTGTACGTGTCTTTAGGTCTGATGTTAGTCTCTTGACTGGGTTTTATTTTTTAATCCATTCACTCACCTTGTCTTTTTGTTGGAGCATTGAGTTCATTTACAGGTATGTACTTACTGCAATTTTGTTGTTTTCTGTTTGTTTTTATAGTGTTTCTCTCTACCTTTATTCTCTTGTTCTCTTCCTTTGTAGTTGGATAGCTTTCCTTAGCGTTATATTTGGCTTCCTTTCTCTTTATTTTTTGTATATCTGTTACAGGTTTTTGGTTGGTAGTTAACATGAGGTTCAAATATAACACCCTATGTATATAGCACTCTATTTTAAATTGATAGTCACTTAGATTTGAACACATTCTAAAAGCAATACATTTTACTCCCTCCTATCCACATTTTATGTATTTGACATTTTAATTTTGTGTATCCTTTAACTAAATATTGTAACTATAGTTGATTTTAATACTTTTGTTTTTTACCTTCATACTAGCTTTATAACTGATACACTACCTTTATTATATGTTTACTTTTTCCAGTGAAATGTTTTAATAATTTTTTTTTACTTCTAGTTAGGGCTCCTTTATTTCCATTTAAGGAAATTCCTTTAACATTTCTTGTGGGGTTTGTTTAGTGGTGATGAACTCCTTTAACTTTTGTTTGTTTTGGAAACCCTATCTCTTCTTCAGTTCTGAGTAATAGTGTTATAATAATCTTAGTAATAACCTTGTGGGGTAGGGTATTCTTGTTTACAACCATGAAGGTTTTTTTAATTTAAGCACTTTGAATATGTCATGCCACCCCCTTCCAGCCTGTGAAAAATCAACTGATAGTCTTATAAGTGTTCCCTTTCTTATTTATTTATTTAAGAGAGAATGTGCACGCACATGCTTTGGGGGACGAGCACAGGGAGAGGAAGAGAGAATCTCAAGCAGACTCCCTGCTGAGTCCGGAGCCCAACATGGGGCTTGATCCCATGACCCTGAATTCATGACCTGGGCTGAAATCAAGAGTTGGACGCCGAACCGACTGAGCCACTTAGGTGCCCCTAAGTGTTCCCTTTCATGTAACTAGTTGCTTTTTTCTTGCTTCTTTTAAGATTATCTTTTTAACTTTAATTTTTGATATTTTAATTATTATGATTCTTCCTATGGACCTCTTTGGGTTCATCTTGTTTGGGGCTCTCTGTACTTCCTGGACCTGGATGTCTGTTTCCTTCTCCAGGTTAGAGTAGTTTTTAACGGTTCTTCAAATAATTTTTCTACCTATTTCTTTCTCTCTTCTCCTTATGTACTCTTATAATGCAGTTGTTAGTATACCTGATGTTGTTCTAGAGGTCCCTTAATCTATTTTCATGTTCTTTGCTGTTTAATTTGGATGATTTCCACTACCCTGTCTTCCAGATTGCTGATCTCTGTTCTTCTGCATCCTCTAATCTGTTGATTATCTTTAGTGTATTTTTTAGTTCAGTTATTATATTCTTCATCCTTTATTGGTTCTTTTTTTATATTTTCTGTCTCTGTTGAGGTTCTCACTGAATTCATCCATTTTTCTCCCCAAAGTAGAATAACTTTATGACCATTACTTTGAATTCTTTATCAGGTCGATTGTTTATCTCTGTTTCATTTAGTTCTTTTCCTGAGATTTTTTTTCTCGTTCTTTTGTTCATAACATATTCCTCTGTCTTCTCATTTTGTCTGACTCTCTGTTTTTGTGTATTAGGTAAAACAGTTACGTCTCCTTGCATTGAAAGTATGGGCCTTCAGTAGAAGGTGATACGTGGGGCCCAGAAGTACAATCCCCTGGTCACCAAAACCAGGTACTCCAGGGCTGTCCCCTGTGTGTGTCCTCCACTTGTGATTGGGGTACAATTCCTGCTGGTACAGTTGAGAACGGGACTGTGCCCTGGGCCAGCATCTGGCTAATAGTGCCTGGCCATGACTACTGCAGGTGCATTGGTGGTTGGGGCTGGTCAGCATGCTGGCTGAGAGTCCCTCCTATGACTGCTGCCTGTGGGGTGACTTATGATGCTGGCTCCCCCTCCCTGGGACAAAAGTTCCTTTGAACGGTTGCCCATCCTGACTAAGGATGCCCACTAGGTGTGTCAGGGTGGGTGCTGCTGAGATTGCCTGCCAGGTGTAGTGGGTCAGGAGAGTTGCCTGCTTGGTTAGGTGGGAAGGGTGGGGTGGATCTGCAGGGGAATGCCAGAGTGAGGTGAGCAGTGCTAGCAAGGTAGAGGGAGAGTGTTAAAACTGGCACCCACTGGCATTGGAACAGCTAGGCTGAAGGAGGGCCCCAAAATGGCATCCCATGGCTTTTTCTCCTAGAGAAATTTCCTGTAGATCCCTGCTTCTCTGGCACACATGCTAAAATTAGTAGATATCCCTTATATATGGTGCAGGCACTTTTCACACTGCTGCCTGTATGGTGGGTCTTGAAGTGAGTGAGATTGTGTACAGACCCTTTCAGTGTGGAGTTTTGGTTTCTTACTAGCTTGCAGCTCTCCAGGAATTAAGTCATATGGATTTTTCAATGCTCCTGGATTTATGCCCTGCTGATTTTCAAAGCCAGATGTTATGGGGACTTCTCTTCCTAGTGCAGATCCCCAGGGCAAGGGTGGGAGTATGCCTCATATGGGGCTTGAACCCCAACACTCCTTAGGACCTCCATATCTGTGCTATCCCTCCTGCTTGTGGGTTGCTGTGCCAGGGTTTGTTTCCTGACCAGATTGTATTTCTGCCTCTCCCATCCTTCTTGATGTCCCTGTTTCTTTGTATCTTTACCTGTGGAGAGCTGTTCTGCTAGCCTTCAGGTTATTCTCAGAGGGGGTTTTCTCTATTAGTTGCAGCCTTGGTGTGTTCACAGGAAGAGGTGAGCTCAGGATCTTCCTACTCCATTTTCCCTACTCCATCCTAATTAGGTATAGGCCAAAATTCTTTCTCACCTCAGTTCAGTTTTCAGAGCTTTTATGATGTTGCTTCATAGATGTCTTGTGCATGTGCCACTTAGGTTAGTCTGATACTCAGGCAGTGTGACATGAATCTTAGTTCAGTTCTCAAGACCTGTATTATGGTGCTCTGTGTCTTTCCCATGCTCACAGAATTTGGGGGTTAGTCTGAGACTTGGGTAGTATTTTTAAACTGAGCTCTGATCTCTCCATGTTTGCTCTGCTGCTTTTGTGGTTAGGTGGCTTAGGGTTTAGCCAGATTTCTATGAGTTTATGTACACCAGAATGAAAACATGTTCTTTCTGAGTCTATTCTCTCTTCTCTGAGATACTCCCCACATTCCTTGGCTCACAATGGCCGTTTTCCTGGCTTCCCTGGGTGGAAAGGTGGAGTTTCTCTCAGAGTTTTAGCAGCCTATACTTCAGCTGCACTTCAGTAGCCAGAGGCCTGTGTTGGGGCAAGACTACTAGAGAAAAGAAAAAACAAAAACCCTGGAAACTTCGCCCTCTTGAGGGTTGCTTCTCCACATTTTCACTCCTTTTTACAACTCCCTGCTTCTGTTTACTTTTTACAGTCCTTAGGGTAGTCACTTTTTGTGTTTTGTCTAAATTTTTAGTTGTAATCAGTAACAGAACTAGAGTGTAGTGGGCTTATTTTGCCATTCTGGAAATGGAACTCATATCCTATATTTTTAGTATCTTTGGATTTGGAAAAATTTGGAGAAAGAGAATATTAACCTAATGTTTGAAATAACCGTATTTGTGACTATATACTAAGTTACTTAAAGAATCATTTAATGTAATAATAAAATTACATGAAGCTAATGTTTTCACATGATTGGATTTTTAGAAAGGGCAGAAAAAGAAATGCTTGGATTCTCAAGAGGTTTTCCTCCTTGATTTATTCTTGAATTTTTTTCTCTTGAGATTTGTCTGTTATTCTTACTAAGTGTAAAGATAACAGCCTTATTTTAATGGTACCTATATGATTACTTGGAAGAAAGAAATTAATTCAGTTTCTTGATTTCCTATAGAAACTTGTTTGTCTTAATACATTATAAATTGAGAATAAAATGTGAAATAAACTATACATATTTATACTTTAAATCAAAATGTGTTATCTCATTTAAATGTAATTAGAGAGTTAAATGATTTGAATTATTTATAAAACTGATTAAGGAGAGTCAAATAGTTTGAGACTCAGAAATTTAATTATGTTTTTAAATTTTTTGAGATGTAAACAATTTTAGCTACTTAATGAGAACAAGAAATTCCTTCTCTCTATGACTGTTTCTTTTCAAGGGTAACTTAAATCTTAAATTTTAATTTAATTTATAAAGCTGTGAATAACTAACTAGTCTCTTGAAGAAGATCAGAAACCCTTCATTGTTTTATCATTCCTTGGTATGAAAGAAATTATTTCAGTGCATTCAGTGGATCTTTTTGAGCACCTGCAGAAAATAGTTTTTTAATAGGAACTTAACAAATGCTTTTAATGCTTAGTTATTATGTTGGTTGATGATACAGTTTTTATAAACTATTTGCAGTATTAGTCATGTATGCTTAAATGTACTGATTAAAGTCCTGATTCAAGGATGGAATCCTTACCTAATTTTTAGATCAGATTTTTTTTTTCCTTCTAGCAACACGATGCAGAAGTTGAGCATTTAACTGAAGTTCTTAAGGAAAGAAATAAAGAAAGCAAGAGGCTAAGGTCCTCTTTCGATGCATTGAAAGAATTGAATGATAACTTAAAAAAGCAGGTAAGACCTATTTTAATAAATACTAGATTATAAGATTTTTAAAACCTATCATCTTTATTTAACAAATTATATATCAAAGTCTTAGAATATATTCTAGCTAGAGAAAATTTTGATTAACTTTATTTCCTATAATACTTCCAAATATAAAAATGGTATTCTTAAGCTTTTGATTTCTCATCATCTGTTTTAGCATCCAGCTGAGAAGATGTTTTTGCAGTTTAGAGTTTTTAAAATATAAGAGCAATTACTAGATTTAAATGAGCAAAAAAAAAAACAACAACATGATAGTGTGGAGATTTTTACGCATTGGTTTTAGCTAATACTTCTTTTAACTGCTGTTTTACACCACTGCTTATTTAACATTCGTTTATTTTCTGGACATCTATTATATGCTAGGCACTGTACTAGCGTAAATACAGAGTGCTATCATACAGAGGGCTATCATATTGTACAGTGATTACATAAGTGATGTAATCTAGGTTACTGCTTAATAATACTGAAGTTGTAAAGCAAATATTTTGAAGTTGTGTATCTTTTTTTTTTTTTTTTAACTTTTGCCAGTTTTTGACTGAAAGATGAGAAAGAATAGTTCAAGAAAGACAGGAGAATGATTATGTTTGTATTTGTGGAAGGAGAAGTAGATGAGCAGAAATTGGGGTAAACCCAGTCACTTCAAAAATGAAAGCTTTGGGCTGGAAGACTTCATGGATTCTAAAATGTAACTAAGCTCAGACTCTCAGAGATAATATGCATCCTGGAATTCTTTAGGTAGCTATATGTTTTCAGTTTCTGTTTTTGATGTTCTGTAGTCACTGCTTGTTACAACCTTTCTCATTGGCAGTGACAACTAGCTACAACATTTCTCGTTTGATCTAAGTTCTTTGGCTTCCCTGAATTCATTTATGGCCTCCCACAGTAGGAGTATGGATGGCCTTCACTTACTGTTGTCTGGAAGCCTGCTTTATCCCTGGAGAGATTACTTTTTCCCATCACACTCTCAATCTAGTGTGCTCTCGCTCTCTCTTTTTTTAAGATTTTATTTATTTATTTGAGACAGAGAGTGAGCAAGAGAGGAGAGAGCACAAGCCAGGAGAGGGACAGAGGGAGAGGGAGGAGCAGACTCCCCACTGAGCAGGGAGCCCGATGTGGAACTTGATCCCAGGACCCTGGGATCATGACCTGAGCTGAAGGCAGCTGCTTAACCAACTGAGCCACCAGACGCCCCCTCTCTCTTTTTAATTGAAGTACAGTTGGTTGACACAAAACATTATATTAGTTTCAGATGTACAATAATGATTTGACAATGTTATGTGGTATACTGTGCTCAGCACAAGTGTAGGTACTATCTGTCACCATACAACTCTAGCACTTTTTTTTTTTTTTTTTTTAAGATTTTATTTGACAGAGAGAGACACAGCGAGAGAAGGAACACAAGCAGGGAGAGTAGGAGAGGGAGAAGCAGGCCTCCTGCCAAGCGGGGAGCCCGATGTGGGGCTCGATCCCAGGAACCCAGGATCACAACCTAAGCCAAAGACAGAGGCTTAATGACTGAGCCACCCAGGCGCCCCATAGCACTCTTTTTTTGAGAAGGGTTTCTTTAACTGCTAGCCAAAGAACATTGTTGCCCGTACCTATCTCTTAAGGTTATATATTTCTTAATAATTTTGTATGTGTTTGTATGGGTGTGTGGTGAGTGGGGTGGATATGTGAATTATTAAGTGATTGATCTATTGATAATTGGATTTTTGATCTAGTGTGACCAAACTGAAAGAGCTTGGGAGAAATCCTTTGGTACCAGCTGGGAGAATGCTTTTTTATGGTTACTCTAAACTTTAGTGTAGATGAGGAGTCAGCAATATTTTTCTTTAAGGATGAAATAGTAAATATTTTGGGCTCTGTGAGCCATGCAGTCTGTCATGACTCAACTCTGACATAATGCAAAAGTAGCTACAGGCAATAAGTAAGTGAATGAGCATGGCTGTATTCTAATAAGATGTTATTTATAACAGTAAACAGTGTTCAGATTTGGTCCATGGGCTATAGTTGGCCAACTTTTGGCATGATGAATGATGTATATATACAGTTGACCCTTAAACACCATGGGTTTGAACTGTGTTCCACTTATATGAAGATTTTTTTTTTGATAGATGCGGTACAGTATTATAAATGTATTCTCTCTTCCTTATGATTTTCTTTTTCATGTCAGAGTCTACCATCTTTTATTATTATTTTTTTCTCATTACATTCAGGAAAATTATTCTCCTATAGTAATCCTGGATATGACAAAGATCCAGCTGGGAATTGCATTTTCCCATCGCTTCTCAAGGGTATTTTCTGCTGATCTGGGTCACTTTGTTCCCTTCCTCCTCCCCTCCTCGGAATCCACCCGTCTTCATTTTTTTTCTTTTTTTGATGTTCATTTTTTTTTTCTTTCCTCTCTCTCTTTTTTAAAATTTAAATTCATTTAATTCACATATTATTAGTTTCAGAGGTAGAGTTCAGTGATTCATCAGTCTCATATACTACCCAGTGCTCCTTGTATCATGTGCCTTCTTTAATGTCTATCACCCAGTTACCTCATCGCCCCACCCTTCCCCCCTAGCAGCCCTCAGTTTCCTATGATTAAGAGTCTCTTATCGTTTGTTTCCCTCTCAGATTTCATCTTTTTTATTTTTCCCTTCTGCTATGATCCTCTCTTTTGTTTCTTAAATTACATATGAGTGAGATCATATGATAATTGTCTTTTTCTGATTAACTTATTCACTCAGCATAATACCCTCCAGTTCCATCCATGTCAATGTAAATGATAAGATTTCATCCTTTCTGATGGCTGCATAATATTCCATTATACCACATCTTCTTTATCCAATCATCTGTCAGTGGACATCTGGGGTATTTCCATAGTTTGCCTATTGTGAACATTGCTGCTATAAACATTGGGGTGCAGGTGCCCCTTCAGATCACTACATTTTGTATCTTTGGGGTAAATACCTGGTGGTGCAATTGCTGGGTGGTAGGGTAGCTCTATTTTTAACTTTTTGAGGAACCTCCATACTGTTTTCCAGAGTGGCTGCACCAGCTTGCATTCCCACCAGCAGTGAAGAGGGTTCCCCTTTCTCTGCATCCTCACCAATATCTGTTGTTTCCTGACTTGTTCATTTTAGCCATTCTGACTGGCATGGGTTGGTATCTCATTGTGATTTTGATTTGTATTTCCCTGATGCCGAGTAATGTTGAGCCATTTTTTCATGTGTCTGATGGCCATTTATATGTCTTCTTTGGAGAAATGTCTGTTCATGTCTTCTGCCCATTTCTTGACTGGATTATTTGTTTTTTGGGTGTTGAGTTTGATAAGTTCTTTCTAGATCTTGGATACTAGCCCTTTATCTGATATGCCATTTGCAAATATCTTCTCCCATTCTGTCAGTTGTCTTTTGGTTTTGTTGACTATTTCCTTCGCTGTGCAAAGGTTTTTTATCTTTATGAAATTCCAGTAGTTCATTTTTCCTTTGTTTCCCTTGCCTTTGGAGATGTGTCTAGCAAGAAGTTGCTGCGGGGTGCCTGGGTGGCTCAGTTGGTTGAGCGGCTGCCTTCGGCTCGGGTCGTGATCCCAGAGTCCTGGGATCGAGCCCCACATCGGGCTCCCTGCTCAGTGGAGAGCCTGCTTCTCCCTCTCCCTCTGCCTGCCTCTCTGCCTACTTGTGCTTTCTCTCTCTCTCTGTCAAATAAATAAATAAAATCTTTAAAAAAAAAAAAAAAGTTGCTGCGGCCAAAGTCGAAGAGGTTATTGCCTGTGTTCTCCCCTAGGATTTTGATGGATTCCTGTCTTAAATTTTTAGGTCTTTCATCCATTTTGAGTTTATTTTTGTGTATGCTGTAAGAAAGTGGTTCAGTTTCATTCTTCTGCATGTGGCTGTCCAATATTCCCAGCACCATTTGTTGAAGAGACTGTCTTTTCTCCATTGGATATTCTTTCCTGCTTTGTCAAAGATTAGTTGACCATAGAGTTGAGGGTCCATTTCTGGGCTCTCTAGTCTGTTCCATTGATCTATGTGCCTGTTTTTGTGCCAGTACCATACTGTCTTGATGATGACAGCTTTGTTGTAATAGAGTTTGAAGTCTGGAATTGTGATGCCGCCAGCTTTGGTTTAATTATTTTTTAAGTAGGCTCCATGCCCAGCATTTAATATACTGTTGGACCTTGTTGGCTCTTACCTTGGGGGAATTTTGGCATCCATGTTCGTCAGGGATATTGGCCTGTAATTCTTTTTGGTGGGGTCTTTGTCTGGTTTTGGGATCAGGGTAATGCTGGCCTCAGAATGAGCTTGGAAGTATTCCTTCCATTTCTATTTTTTGAAACAGCTTCAGAAGCATAGATATAAATTCTTCTTTAAATGTTTGGTAGAATTCCCCTGGAAAGCCATCTGGCCTTGGACGCTTGTGTTTTGGGAGATTTTTGATTACTGCCTCAATTTCCTTGTTGGTTATGGGTCTGTTCAGGTTTTCTATTTCTTCCTGTTTCAGTTTTGGTAGTTTATACATTTCTAGGAATGCATCCATTTCTTCCAGATTGTCTAATTTGTTGGCATATAGTTGCTCATACTATGTTCTTATAATTGTTTGTGTTTCTTTGGTGTTGGTTGTGATCTTTCCTCTTTCATTCATTATTTTATTTAATTGGGTCCTTTACTTTTCTTTTTGATGAATCTGACCAGGGGTTTATCGATCTTATTTATTCTTTTGAAGAACCAGCTCCTAGTTTCATTGCTCTGTTCTAGTGTTCTTTTGGTTTCTATTTCATTGATTTCCCCTCTAATCGTTATTAATTTACTTCTTCTGCTGCATTTAGGCTTTCTTTGCTTTTCTTCCTCCTGTTCCTTTAGGTGTAGGGTTAGATTGTGTATCTGAGACTTTTCTTGTTTCTTGAGAATGGCTTGTATTGCTATGTACTTCCCTCGTAGGACCACCTTTGCTGCCTCCCAAAGGTTTCGAACAGTTGT